CGGTGCGGACGGCCGCGGCAGTACTGGTTGACTCATCATCGGGCAGCATGGGTTCCAGGGTGTAGGTCACGCCGATGTCGTCGGATCGGAACGCGTCGACCATGCGGGCGTTGAACCGGAGGTTGCGAAGGTCGATGATCCCAACGCGGCCTCCGGCTTTCTCTTTCCAGTGTCCGGATACCCTGCGGATGAGCTCTTCGCGATACCAGAATGCTTCGCGGGAGGCCGCCTCGGCGTCGAAGGAAAGCTTGTGGGCGCTGACGACGAATTGACGCTTCACGCCCGTGTTCAGTATAGGGATTGATGCGTGGGGGTTCTCTAGGTGAACCCGAGGAAGTACGAGAACGAAGCGAGATGTTTGCCCCGGTTGCAGTTCTCCATGCACAGTATACTGGCCCTCTGAGTCAGCAGCAACGTCGTGGGCTGAAACCTGCTCAGACTCTACAGGCTGCTCCTGGACCTCCAAGGACACGGACAAAGGGTTGGGCCAGGCATTGCGCAGGTCTAGTAGGCAGATGCAGTGATCAGGTCCGTACTTGCCGTGGGCAAGATGGGAAAGCACCGGTGAGATGGCACCGGTATCAAGGGATTGGCTATCGTCAGAGTCGCCTTCCACAATGCCATTTTTACGATTCCACCAGGCAAAGTCACTACTGAGTGGTAAGATATCACACCGTGCGATCTCAACACTGGCATTGACCGTAGCAGTAAGCGGGACAAACAGTTGGCGGGTATAGAAGACATCAGGCAAACCGCCGTCCGACATGCCAAGGTACGAATAATCGATTTGCACGGTAGTGTCCTGCAAGCCGGGCTTTCCGATGATTTCGATGGTGAACGTAGCACTTTGACCTGCCGGGATCGAGTGGTCTTCAGGGTTCGAACCTTGCCGGCGCCAGCGCAGCGCAGGTCTAGTGAGGTTCAATTCAAGCTCATAAATTTCGACAGGAAGGAGGTCTTTGTTGCTAAGCGCTGACTGCACCTGTCTGGTTGTGGAGTCCTGGAAAGTAAATAAGATGAAATTAAGCGGGCACGGTGACGCATTGCGAAGCGTAATCTCAAAGGAGCTGAGTTCGCCTTCGAGTACCATGATTGCTGACTGGGAAAGAGACAACGACTCAATTGCTAGAGAAGGTTGTTTACCAATGACCCTGACTTCGCAGGCCGAAGTGTCAGGGCCCTTCTTGGGTATTATTGTTTTACCGTCTCTGGAGGTGGTCGAACTCCAGGACAGAGGACGATCCACTGCAGGCTTCTTAGCAGCTAGCCCTGTGCGTTTAAATTTCACTTCTGTCTCTGGCTTCCATAATGACTGAAAGATCGGGAATTTGCGTTCCCTGCAGTGCCTGACCTTGACAATGCAGCCAGTAATGTTGAGCGCACCTTCTTCAAGGGCTTGCCCGTAAACAGTGATTTTCTGCAAGGAAAGAGGAGGCACCAACACCCACTCGGCCACAGCATCCAAAGGCACGCCATCGCCATCCAGGCTGAGCTTCTCGATTTCTAGCTCGAAGTCATAAGGATTCTGAAGCGAGACTTGGAATGCCGCATATTCACCCGCAACCATCAGAACCTCAGAAGCCTTGGTATTTGCCTTTGCGAAGGGATTATAGAGAAACGGATCCTTGGCTGACTTTTCGCGATCCGCTGCAACGGCATCCAGATCTGTTTTGGAGTGACGAACAGGTCGTCTGGGATCCGGGAGGGGCAAAAGCTCAACACCCCGTACTAAGAAGTCATCCCAATATTCCGCTTCCAGCTCGGATGCGCCTAATCTCTTGGCCGCGCCAACAGTTCGTTTGATGTTATTCAAGAGCCGAATCTGCTCGTCACGAGACAGGCAAGGCGGGTTGAGTTGGGTCTCTGCGAGCATCAGGTCCCCTCGAATGGTTTGAAGAAGTTCAACTGTGAAACGAAGCACACCATCAAAATCTGGGAGTGCCTCACATGAGCTGATAGCTGCCTTAAGAACATCGATTTTGAGGTTGAGGTCCCCATACTGATCCAAGTTAGCATGCCGGAAAGATCGTTCGACAATTGCGGCCACGGAGTCATAGTCAGGGAAAGCATCGTTTGTACTAATAGTAGATGATCGTCTTTTTTCCCATTCGCGATACGACGATGGCTGCACGCCATATGTGTCCCCTATGACAGCGAGTAGCGAACGCATACTTTCTTCCATGTTGCCTGGGCCAAGGTCAAGAGCGTTGATGTCAAACGCGGTGTCCGTCAAAGACGCCAGCCCAGCAGCAGGATGGACCCCCACTTCTGCTGCGCCAATCTTACGCGCTTGTACGAGGGTGGGAATCATAAGCGAGAGAAGTTCTCGTAGCAAAAATGCCTTCTTTCGTGGTAGATCGAGAATGTTTAAGACGGATACCACACCCACAGTGATAGGTATGGCATCAGTGGGAGGGAGATCTGACCCAGGAGATAGAGGTAATGCGCGGAAAAGGAAGTTTGCAATCTCAGACTTCCGAAGCATGTTGAGTCCACGGGGCCGCTCCGGGCGGAGTAAAGGCATCAGAGGCTCGTTTGTGACGATGTTCTTCAGCGCTACATCGTCCAAAGCACCATCACGAATTCGTGCGGCCGCCAATAACCTTGCCAGACGGACGACAGTCTCGGAATAGACTAGCTGAGGCAATGGTTCATCGGTGATATTAGCGGCGCGATTATAAAGATTCAGTATATTGTTCGAAAGATCTGGGAGTAGGTTGGACAGGTTCTGAAGAGATATGATCCGGTTCCCTGCGGAGGACGAACTCGAGTCAAAGGTAGTATTGTATGACAGCTTCGATGACTTGTCGGACACGGGGTAGCATACAGGTGGTATCTTTTCGGCGTAAGTGACAAACAATCAGCGGCAAAATCCATCCCAAGTGACATACCTGAAAGTCCATCCCAGCCCAAGCGAGCATCAGCAGACAGAGAAGAATGGATTCCAGCGCTTTGGCATGCCACACATAGTCACTACTGGCTCTTGCATTGGATGCAGCCTCGACAAGCTCTTTGAGAGCATCAGGCCATCTGCCTGCCTGGAGAAATAATGTTCCAACAACCACACCTATACGTCCTTTGATCCGGTTTTTTGTTCGGTCTGTTGCGCTCATGCCGCTTACCGACATGCGATCATGACTGTGCTCTTTTGACGATGGGAGCGAATGTGGCTTGCTTGTCGAGTTGGAGCGGTTGGCTAGTTGAATTGACCGGGTTATTTCGTCGAATGTAGTAGGCGTCTCATGGTCACCAGGAGCAGGCGAACCTTGGTTAGAGCTTCGGGCCGACTCTGATGCACCGTTGGGATTGAACGGTAGCTGCGCAGGCATCGTCATCCGGTGAAATAGGCGATCTGTTGGGCGCGGGCGTATGTCGGGCCCTCGATGTGGACCCCAAGATGATGCCCTGGGGGAATCGATAGTAGGAATACTTTGAATGGTCTTGGCGAACTCATCTAATTCGGATAGGAGCAAAGATGTTATGTCGCATAATACCGTTTTCATTGTAGTAGCTTTGGACGCTTCAGGTCGCGGCACCCATGAAACATTATCCGGGCCATTGAACAGTTTCTCGACGCCGTCATAGTCAAATATCAGAAGCTGGTGTACCAATGCCCTCAGGTTAGTCTGCTTTAGTGTTTCCAGCTCCTGTCGAAGTCGCTCCAGTTCGGTTGGCTCGGGGGGCCGATCGACTGCTGAGGATTTATCCCCGTTTTTTGTATCTTCACCTAGTTCTGCTCCATCGGCAATCGCGATTACCACCAAAGGCTCACGGAATATTTCAAAGGGAAACAGCTCCAAGTGGGACGTGGGCGGTACGGAATAGGTGAGGTCATAGAGAATCATCCCGGTAGGGAACGCCAGCGGGGAGAACATGTCTATTGAGAGAAATTAGCTGTTTAGTGTGATTGTCGATTATTACTGCTCAGAGGGAGTGTAATCAATTGGAGCGCCATGAAAATAATTTGTTAACATACTTCGATTTGGGCGCGCATCGGGACTAATATCACCCAAGCGGACAACATTCTCGGCTTGAAGTCTTGCAGCAAAGCTCAGGAACCGGGATCGCCTGATTTTGCCAATGGGCAGCAAAAGGGCCCTCAGACGCACTGGGGCAGTGGGAGAGAGAGGATCGACCCCCATTATGTCGTCCGTATCCGGTTGATGCAGTCGCGTTTAAGGTTGTACGCAAGACTGCTTCCAAGCACGGCGGGCAGGCGGGCAGGCGGCCAAGCGGCCGGAGGTCATACGAAGCGCTATGCACGACGCAATGGTGAGTGATAGGTAGGTAGGTAGGTATTGGTCAAGGTAACCTTGAACACTGGTTGGCTCTCTGTAATTGTTAGTACCTAGTAGTCTTGGGTCACCTTGACCAAGGAAACGACATGCATCGAAGCATGACCGACAGATGAACAACAACCCCGGAATTGATGAATTGGTTGATGCTGGCACCGAGTCGGAGTGTTTACCGCCCGCCCTTCTCCCCCTGCTGACATAATGACTAACTAAGCTAACTAACTTATCTATCAGCTGGTTCAAGTTCAATCAGTCAGTCAGATAAGAAACTGTTCCCTGATAAACGATTTAACTCCGCGGTTGTCTCCGTCGGTTTACCTACAAAGCAGTCACTCAGTCGCCATCGGACTCGGTCCCAGTCAGACAGGGATCCCTGCTCCCGATTCTCTCAACTCTTCCCCTTTTCCTCTTTTCCATGTCTGCTCTGTGCTGTTTATAGCTCTTTTTCTTTGTTTCCAAACAACCTTTTATACGCTGGTGCCTGCGTTGCTATGGAATGAAGCTCTAGATCTTTTGCGTTGTTGTCTTTCTTTTGCCCAGGTTTCAGCCACCTTGGATAATAATTGACCTCAAGTCACCCAATAACTTGACCTTCCTCGGAATCTCTCTCGGTTGCATCTGTCTGAGAATATTCCATCCCCGAGGGTTCTCTTTTCAAATCATCGGGTCGTTCGTCCGTAATATTCTTCCTGTCAGCCTGCGAAGATGGCGCAGAAGATCGATTTTAATGCGCTCAGGGCGCGCACTTTGGGGTCTGGGAACGATGAAGAGGCGGTCACAGTGGACACAAGGGGCTTGATCTCGAAAGTTCTTGCGCGATACTCGGGCAAATGGTAAATATCTTCCAAACCCTTTGGACTCGACGGATTATCGCTGATGCCATACGAACAGGACTGTTCTGCGCGAAATGATACAGAATGCCGCGGATGCGAACGCCAGGAAAGTAACTATCAAATTCGAGACACTGCCTTCAACCACGGTACCCTTGCCTCCAGCTCCCGATGAAAACACCTTGATTAAGCATACGATCTCCCATCATACTCTTAAACGCCTCCTCATATCGAACAACGGTCTTCCTTTTAGTGAAAAAGATTGGTCAAGGCTGAAACGTATTGCTGATGGAAATCCTGATGAAACTAAAATCGGAGCATTTGGCGTCGGCTTCTACAGTGTCTTTGACGATTGTGAGGAGCCTTTCGTATCATCCGGAAAGGAGGCAATGGCCTTCTATTGGAAAGGAAACGCACTTTTTACACGCCGGTTACAGCTGAACGAAGACGCCAACCACGAGACCACGTTCGTTCTGGACTATCGCAATGACTCCACCCCAATCCCTTCGCTGATGCAGTTATGCCAGTTCTTATCCAGTAGTCTTACTTTTGTCAGTCTAGAAGGTATAGACTTGTGGCTAGACGACTGGAAAGTGCTGCAACTTTCCAAAAAGACAGCCCCAAGTGTTGACCTTGTCATTCCAAGAGACATCGATACAAAGACGCCTCACGGACTGATGAAAATCCAATCGGTTACTCGGGAAGTTGCCCAGGTTGACGCTGAGTGGATGCGAGTTGTCGAATGGAAACCAAACCTAAGCATCTTCAGCGAGGGCCTCCGTGATACTACAGGCTCGTTACGTACCTTCTTCTCACGACTCACTGGCCAAAAAAGCTCAGAAAAGCCGTTGAAGACCGAAGCCACTGATAATGTGAGCGACATCGGCGAGATGATCAAGACCTCAAAGGCATCTGTCTTCCTTCACATCAACACTGCTAGTATTCAAGCGTCTGTCAGTCAATCATTGAGCAGTGAACTTGAAAGAGCAACTCGGAAACCACCACCGAAGAAATCGACAATCGCTATCTTGACACCTTCATATGATACTACTTTAGCCTCCAGAGCTTCCGGCCTGGACTCTGAGATTCTTGCCTCTATACTTCCTTCGAAAGATGGAAGGATCTTCATAGGTTTCCCTACCCATCAAACAACAGGCCTCAATGCTCATATATCAGCACCGTCTGTGATTCCCACAGTCGAGAGGGAGAGTATCGATCTCAACACTCGATATATCAGCAAGTGGAACCTTGAAATGCTAAGGGCGGCCGGCATCGTCTGTCGTATTGCCTGGACTGCGGAAATGGCATCCATAAAATCCAGGATACACCCCGGAAAGAACGATTCTAATTCAACCAAGATCCGCAAAGATGATATAATCGACATACTCCCCGAGGCCATCCATACCGCAAATCAATTTGTGTTTCGTGAATCGACCCCGTCTTCCGTGCTGGGGCAGACAATAGAAGGCGCGTTCTGGACGTGCAACAAAAGCTCCTCGATTGAAGTTCTGTCAACGTGCGGTGTAATTCAGAGCCATCAAGCACGCATAGCTCCCAAAGATCTCAGTTTCATGGATTCGATTCCAGTTTTGCCAGATGCTTTCGTGACAGGTGCTAAAGACTTTGTCAAGAAATTGACGGACTTTGGCCTGGTGACTGACATCACTGTGTCTGACATTAAGAAAGAGTTGGAGCGCACTACGTTGCGTTCCAATCAAGTCAACGAGTTTCTTGCCTGGCTCAGTCGGAAGGCTGTTGCGGGTCAGCTCGATACTTATTCCGTTCAAAGTATCCTTAGTGTTGCAGTGGCAAGCGACGAAGAGAACGCCGACTCACAGGCCAAACTGATTGTCTTTGCGGGTATAGAAAGCTTTCTGAACCCGCAAAGAATACCAACAAGCTTGCCATTGCCACCATCCGTGGCACCGTTTAAATTCACGAAGAACCTTGGAAACAGAGAGCTGGAGGCCATGGGATGGACAGAATTGCAGGTCGTCACCTGGATCCTTTGGCTGGTTGAAAATGCCGGCAATCGAAACATGCTCTCAGCAGCTCATGATATTACTCAGAATCCGTCATTTTCCGCGCAGGTTCTTCCTGTCATATCGAAGCAATGGGAGTACTTTAGTCCGACATCGAAGCAAACAGTGAGCAATGTGCTGCAATCGAAAACCATTATTCCAACCAAGCTGGGAATGAAGACTCCACCCGAAACATATTTCTCTTCTGTTCGACTATTCGATGATTTACCTGTTATTCACGGTCTTAACGGTGTCAAGGAGAAGTTTCTGGCATCTTTGGGAGTTCGTAAAACAGTTGAACTTGGAGTTATTTTTGAACGTCTTCTGAACTCATCTGAGTCTTCAGACCCGGGAAACAACAGCGAGCGGAGGTGGAGCCATGTCGATTTGATACGCTATCTAGCATCTGTTCAAGCAGACATACCTTCGAAGGATATCAAGAGGCTCAAGGACACAAGCCTTTGCCCAGCTGAATACCGCGATGGGCAGACTTCTAATGAATCCAGGCGCGCTGAGACAACGCGTTATAAGATATGCGAATTGTTTGAGCCCAAAGATTCACTTCGTGCGCTTGGATTGCCAATTATTCAGTGGCCTGGAAAATATCTACCTAGCAGCAATGAGGGTAAATTCTTATCAATGCTTGGCTTAAGGGCTTCTCCATCCGCTGCAGACTTAGTTGATATTATGGCGAGAGCAGCCTCGGAGAAGGACTGGAGTTTGCACACAAGAGCCATGTCATATTACATCGCCGAGTATCATACAAGCGGCTATGCTATATTCGACTGTGGCGCAATCAAGGTTCCATTCCTACCTGTCGAAGGGTCAGACACTTTAAGCACCCCTGGGAAATGTTTCACTGAAGAGGGTGCTACACTATTTGGTTTTCAGATTCTCCGGAAAGATCTTCATCCCCATGCCTCAAAGTTTGGAGTAAAAGAGCATCCTGCTTTGAGCGATTGTTTAGATTGCCTTATACGCCTGCCGCCATCTACAAAAAGGGACGCCCAGGTGGTATTCAAGAACCTTGCCGGAAGGGTATCGGAACTCAGATCCCGGGACATCGATCGTGTTAGCAATGCTCAGATTGTGCCCGTCTCGACTGCTCATGGTACAATGGACAAGAAGTCTTCTGTGCGGCATGTGGCGCCCAAGCTCTGTTATCTGGGAGATGGCGAGGATTACAAGGATATATTTGATTTCGTCGATTTCGATCAGGAAGCCAATCTATTCCTTATGGCAGTGGGATCCAAGCGTGAGCCAACGAAAACCGAGCTTGCGCATATGCTAGTAAGAGAGCCTGCAAGAGTATCGGCCACTTTCCAAAGTGCAGATAAGTATCTCAAGTTGCTTAGAACACTTGCAGAGCATCTCCCGGTGCTCAAGAAAGACCGGGAATTGTTTATGGAGATGAAACGATCTGCGTTTCTTCTATCCAGCAGAGACATAACGTCTCTCGCTCAGGTGAATGTCAGCAATGATGTTGCGGGCTCAGAAGACGAAGACGAAGAACAGAGCATTAAGGAGTGGACTCTGACCGTCGCCAAGGATGCTGTGGTTGTGGATGACTTTCAAAGTTTCAATTTGTTCAAGGAACATGTTTTGGCCGCTCCACAAGAAGAGCTTCTAGAGAACTTCTACCTTTCTTTGGGAGCAGTGCCGCTGAGCAGCCTCGTCGAAGAGCGCGCTCATTGGGGCGCAGTGGCAGCCGATCAGAGTCCAGCAACTAAATTACAAAAGTTGATTCACGAACGCACGAGACTCTTTCTGCATGACCAATCGTCGGATTCCATACGACATGATGTACGCTGGCTCGAAAAACATCTACAAGTCCAGGTGGTACAATCCATTTCCCTCACACGATCTCTCAAGGGACGGCGTATATCTCATACTCAGAAACGAAGTGCAATCATCACCCAGCAGCCATCGCGAAACTGGATGCTGTGGATATGTCCGGGCAGATACGATCTCTATGAAATAAGTCAGGCTCTGGTACATCTCATTCTTGCTAGACCGAAGCTTCATTCGACTTTGACCCTGGAAATGCTCCTCAAGACTGATCTTTTGGAGTTGAAAGCTCGCGGGTACAATGTAGAACGTATTCTCAAGCAGAAGGCCCAGGAAGCAAGGGTGGCAGAAGACAGGCGACAGAAGCAGCTTGAGGAGGAACGTCAGCGCTTGCAGGAAAGAGAAGCCGATTGGGCTCAAGGCCAGGCTCAGGTTCAGAGCCAGAGTCAGATACGCTCGCACGCAACGGAAGATGAGCGGCAACTCATGCCAGGGGACTTCCCAGATTCTCCCTCGAGCAGGAATTCTACCCGTGATATGCAGGTTGAAAGGTCGGATCAGGCCCAAGACCAGAAGCCGCGCGGGTTTCTGGCCAATTTGACCAAGCGGTTTGGGCTTGAGGGTAACCGGTCACCTTGGAATGCCCTCAATGGGGAGTCTTCGAACACGCCAGTCCCTGGACCCTCTGAAAATGCTACACCTCCTCCGCCTTACTCCGTCCAAGATCCACAGCAAAAATCTCGTCCGGAAGGACCGGTCGCTGCCAACTCTCCTCATCGCCTTCAATCCGAATTGCTTTCGGCGGTTCAGGCGTGTCGACCCCATGGTTCGTCCGATGTCTACACCCGACCACAAACGAATCAGGTTACCGAAACCAAGTCCTACTGCGATGAGAAACCAAGCCACGATCTTGAATTTGTGGCTACCCTTGCTTGCGGCATCCATGTGCTGGTTGTCAAAACCCTTCCAGACCGATCGGCCTTCCTGGCAAAGAACAGTCTTGGAATCAACGTTTTCGCATCCCTGCTGATCGACTGTGCTGATGTCTTTTCCCTCCGCTTCGACATTATCAGCGTCTTCTATGACCCCGGAAAGACCATTGCTTTCAATCGGGCCGGTAGCATTTTCTGCAATTACTTCTTCTTCCAGCAGCTGCACGAGAAGCAGCTGCTCCAAAACTCTGCCGGCGCTCGATCCGAAGCACTGGTTTATTGGTGGGTGATCTTGTGCCATGAACTGGCGCACAATCTTGTCGAGGATCACAGTTCTGCACACAGTTTCTACACGTAAGTTCATTCCGTCCTCAATTTTAATAGGATGATTCTAGGTACTAACAATGGTGCAGTGAAGGATTCGTTGCGCAGTACTTCCCTAAAGTGGCGGCCAGGCTAGTGACCCCCAATCAGGGAAATTGAACCTCGAGCGGAGGTTGATGATGATGATGATTTGGCATTGGTCACCTCTTTGGTTCAGTCTTCGTTGAGTTGGGTTTAGACAGGCATATAACGTCTACTGTGGATCATGCTATCACGGAATTGTTCGGCATAGATTAAGCGTCAGATGACTTCCCATAACTCTAAAATATAGCTCTAGCTGGTGTCGAATACTCGAGTCCAATCCAGAGGATGCGGGGCGTCTTCAGGGCTTGGCTTTATGGCTATCATGTATTACATTCGTGGTGAATAGGGATAGATAGACCTACGCATAGTGAATACATACCTATCTATTTTTCTAGAAAGTATATATCACGTGTACAGTAAATTAAATTGAATTTGAGGTATAATACTATGTACAAGTGGCGGCGATGAAGTTCGGACCGAAGTAGATCTTAAAGTTTTCCTCCGGTATTTTCAGGAACCGAGCGGGTGTATTCCGTACGGACTGTAAAGTTACTATGGACTACTAGCGTTGCCACTCTCGGAGTGGCGGATTCTGCATCTTTTCCTGATCGTCGTTCTTTATCTGATAGTCAATCCACCTCCACTCCCCTCCCCCTCCTCCTGTCAATGATCTCCTCCCTCTTATTATGCATTTGAATGCATACATGCTGTTCAATATCTCTTTGCCTTAATCTCTGTTATCACATTCTGGGTCTGCCTGCAGACCTCTTCTCAAATTTCGGTGTCCTAACATGGCTCCCTCGTTGGGATTCTGGGAGTCAGCAAGCGAAGGCCAGGCACCTACTATAAGCCATGATGCTGCTACTTCACGTGCACTTCCACCCAGGAACATATTGTACATTGATGCATATGACTCCTTCTCCTACAATGTCGTCGCCATGCTGGAAGAAGTTCTCAAGGCTACAGTCTCAGTCTTGAGAATTGACTCATCATGGCCCAATGGCAACATGGCCGACTATGTGCAGCGTTTCGAGGCCGTCGTTCTTGGGCCTGGTCCGGGCGATCCTCATATTCCTCAAGACGTGGGGATCATGAGAGACATCTGGAAACTGGATGGCAGGAACCAACTACCTATCTTTGGAATATGCCTTGGCTTCCAGAGTTTATGTCTGCACCACGGGGCTTCGATTCGTCGACTTCCATATCCCATTCACGGGCAGGTCCGTCGCGTTCAGACAGCACAGGAGGACATCTTTCGAGATGTTCAGGAGCTGGAAGTCACACTGTATCACTCGCTGTACGCTGACATGAAGTCATTCGTCTCCGATGATGGTCACCATCACGGTTTTGTTGCGCAAGATCTGGATCTCCTTGCCTGGCTGTCTCTTGAGCAAGACGGCGCACCCCATCAGACACGAATTCCAATGGCTGTTCGCCACAAAAAGAAGCCATTCTGGGCCGTTCAATTTCATCCTGAATCCTGCAAGTCAGATAGAAAAGCATGCAGCGACCTGCTCAAAAAGTGGTGGGCTGCGGCTCTCCGATACAACAAACTGAATGGACGAGGCAGCTACAGTAGCATGTCAATTGTCGCGCCTAGGTCTTCCGGTGACCAGCCATCTATCCCGGACATTGTCCATACTATGTTAGAGTGGAGTGCGTCAACATCGAGTCACTCCTCCTCCCGAACTTTTGAGTCCCAGCAACTAGGAGCCGAGACAATCTGCGAGGCTCTCAATGGTCCGGGGTCGGCAGCTGTCATTTTCAAGTCCAACGGCCGGTACAGCATCATATCTGTTCCTAGCTCCAACACTTGGAAGCTCGAATACTATGCGCAGAATGAACGTCTGCTCCTAGAGAAGTTATCAGTCGGCAGCACGAAGAGCTCACCCAGTGATCACCAAACCACAATCGAGGATTGCTTGTCAGCATCTCGGTTCTGGAGCGCACTCAGGTTCCTCATGGATGCCAAAAAAGTGCTTACGGGTGATGATACGGTCCCATTTTGGGCCGGCTTTTTGGGTTACTTTTCTTACGAAATGGGGCTGGCTTCCATTGCCCGTCCAAAAAGTCACGAACAGGATTTCCAAGGGACGCATGCCGCAGGAGCCGGTGGTCCCTCGAGCAATCCTGCAGATGCCAGCTTATTATGGACTGAAAGGAGTGTGGTCGTTGATCATCACACTGGCCGCGTCACCATCCAGTCTACTTGTGCGACGGATGATTTGGCCAATGGATGGCTGGATGAGACATTGACGTCTCTCCAAAGGCTTGCAACTTCTGACAGACCCGCTGAAACCGAAGGTACGATGACAGATTCGCAATCTTTGGATCGCATTCTTGAGCAGGGTGTGGTGCGATTCCCGGATCGGCAAATTTACCAGGACCAATTCGATGCCTGTCGTGCACAACTACTAGCTGGCGAATCTTACGAACTATGTCTTACTAATGAGACTACCATAACATTGCCCTCAGCAGAAAGCAATAGTGGCCGCAAGGAGTTTCCTTGGAAACTGTACCGGCGTCTTCAGAAACATAACCCTGCCGCCTTCAGTGCTTATGCCAGACTAGGAAACCTCAAGATTGTCAGCAGCAGCCCTGAATGTTTCCTGAACTGGGACCGTCACTCTCGGTTAGAAATGAAACCAATGAAAGGAACTGTGAGGAAGACGAACGACATGACTCTTGAAAAGGCGCGCGAAATCCTAGGCACGACCAAAGAGATGGCAGAGAATCTTATGATTGCAGATCTCATCCGACACGACCTTTACGGTATCTGTGGCTCGGGAGGGGTGCATGTGGAGAAGCTTCTCGAGGTAGAAGACCATGGGCGCGTCTACCAAATGATCACGCATGTCATAGGAGAGGTCGACCCAAACCGACCTGGCTTTGCGGCTCAAGATATGCCACAATTATATTCAAACGGCATGTCAGCATATGGTCTAACGGCGCTGCAGCAATGCCTCCCACCTGGCTCTATGACCGGTGCGCCGAAGGAACGATCGTGCTTGCACCTTTCCTCGATTGAGGGTCGAAACCGGGGAGTCTATTCTGGTGCAATGGGTTTTCTTGATCTCGGTGGTGGAGGGAGCTTCTCGGTCCTGATACGCACCGCCTTTACATATGCTGGCGACGATGATGTCGAACAGGTCTGGCGCATCGGCGCAGGCGGCGCAGTCACCATTCTTAGCACTGCTGAAGGCGAATGGGAGGAGATGTTAACCAAGTTGAGAACAGTCCTTGGTGCATTCGTGCCGCTTGATTGTCGGCCCATAAAGAATGCCTAGCATGCTTCATTGCCCTCTACCATACTAACATACATTTCTTTACTTTGATTGATTGCAAAAGAGACGTTGCAGAAAATCGCATTCAACATCTACCATATACTGTGCGGCGTTTGGTTTCATTTGCATCGCGGGCAGGCCATGCCCGCAGCTTTAGCGGATTTGTTTTCACACTGATTCTATTCAACAAGATACCCTACTAGCATGTTGCGACTCGATTACAACACTTGGAATCTATATAAATTCCCTACAGAATCTCTTCCTATTCACATTTACCTTATTGTAGTTGTAGCCTTTTTTGTTATTTACAGCACAATACATTCAACTGATCGACGTTGGATGCAAACACGCCAAACATCGTCACCTCCGCGGAGAGTTGCCTCGGACGATCTCTCCAGCTTCGTTCTCTGTCACTTCTTTGACACTGATAGAGTCTCGTAGCACATTGCACATCTATTTCATAGCTACCCAAGTCTCCAGGAAAGCCTAAGAAACATTGTGCGAGCTTACCGAACACCATGGCAACCGCACCAGAGTCCTCACTGGAGGAAATCCTATGGCGATCCCCGCCGCACGTGCAGATGATGGGAGGCTATCTCCATTCGAATAACAGTATGACTTCCTACTAGGCAGTCACACGATGTACTGTATCTTCGTTCTCTCTATGCTGACTGTCTCTCCAATGACTAGTCCTCTTCTACTTTGCCGAATCCCCCTTCTTCGATCCCACATCCAACAATGCCTCCCTCGCGATCCAAGCCAACTACAATGAAGCCTTCCGGCAATTCATCGAGACCCGCGAAGCCTTCGAAGGCCGGCTCGCCACGATGCAGGGCCTAGAATTCATCGTCTCGTACGATCCACTCCAGGCCGCCGCGCAACCGGGCGGGCGATTCGCACACGAGCCCTCCAACATCTGGGTGATCCGGAAGCAGACGCGGCGCAAGCGAGCCGGACAAGAGGACGAGGTGGAGGTCCTCTCCACCTACTTTGTCGTCGGCGATTGCATCTACATGGCACCATCAGTGGCAAGTGTCATTGGGAACCGAATCGTAAGGCTGCCCCCCTGCCTCCTTCATCCTTTCATAAGGCGTCGTGTCTCATAACTGCTCACTCTGTTCGAACCATGGCATAGCTTTCGGCCGTGACCTCTCTCACCAGCCTCCTCAAAACAGCATCCACCCTACCCACCTTCACACCGTCACACGGACACACCTATCTCCCGCCATCGGCCAAACAACCCGACTCAGCCGCTCAAGCAGCCGGCACCGCCGCAGCGCAGCAGAGCAAAGAGAACACGCCGATGCCCGACGCGCCAACGAAGGCGCCTCTTGTCGGATTGCAGGTGGCGCAGACGGGCGGCTCTGTGTACCAAGATACCCGAACGCTGGCGGAGTCGTTCAGTCTGCTGACGCGGTACGGGGATGAGTTCATGGATGAGAACCCGCTGGTCGGCGAACCGGGGTCGTTCCTCATGTCCAAGGCCGGGGATACAGCGGCGGCGGCGGGCGGGATGAATAAACAGGGCCCGAATGCCGGTGGTGGTGCAACGGCTGCAAGAGTACCCACGCCGCAAGTCAGGGTGGATACACCAGGGAGGGGCTCGGAGAAGGGAGCTGCGACGCCGTCCGCCGGGCTGGAGGATAATAGATCAAGGAAGAAGAAGGTCAAGGTGGGGGTCTAAGTTGAGGTCCGGGGTTGGGTTCCGGGTGGGGAGAGTATGATACCCGTTTCACTTATTATCTATCTGGGCTTGCTTAAGGGTGCTACGTAGCTATTCTTGGGACGGGTACTGTGAAGCACTTGCCATTCAGTGGATTCATGCTGGAGCGGGGTTTCCTTCTGCATCTCCACATTGGCTTGCATTGTATTGAATATCCAAGCACATATTCTCCCGAGGAATGGGATGCCGTGCACAATGCTTATGAGGTGTCTTCCGGTCTACAATGACATGCCCAAGAGCTATGGCTGCCCTATAATATAGCCTTACAGGTTCTTCTCGATGAAGGTTATAGGGTAACATGAGATTATCCCGATTCATGACTATAACTATCAGAAGGTAAATTCATTTAGAGGAATCGAAGCTAGGTGGGGCACCGTCCCCCCACCCACGCTTCATGAGTCCACCTCCATCGTCTCGGCCTCTTTCGTCTCCTCGCCGGCTTCCGACCGCTCCAAAGCGTCCAGCAGAGGTACGAGCAGCTGGCCCTCGTGTAGCTTGAAGCTCTCGATCCTACCCCTGGCACCCTCGGGAGCCAGACCCACCACGCCGACGGAGGTGTTATCCACCGTCAACTCCTTATCCTGGGAAAGGGTCTCCTTGAGGGCTTGCAGGCCGTGGGTGATGAGCTCGTCGCGCGTGGAGCCGGCGATCTTTTGCAAGTTGCGCTCGAGATAGGTCCGGGCCATCTGGGAGCGGGCGCCAATGGCACAGGCCACCATCTCCTGGGTCATGCCCGAGGGCTGGAACTCGAACAGGTGGGGACCGGCGTCGTCGACGCCGGCTACGAGCAGGCCGACACCGTAGGGCCGCTTGCCGTAATGTTGGGTGTTCGTTTGAGCGCGGTCGCCGATCTGGCTGACGATGCGGTCGACGGGCAAGGGGCGGCCGTAGGTCATCCGGGAACCCAGTGACTGCTGCTTCATGAAATTGGAGAGCACCCGAGCGTCCGAGGCGAGACCGGCGATGGCAATGCCCATGTGGGAGTCGATTTCGATGATCTTCTTCTGGTATGACGAGAGCTCTTCGGCATTACGCTGGGAGGGGGGGCAAAGAGGTGGGGCAAGATGTCAGCTTTGTGAGGTCTTCTACTTGTAAGGGGGAAAAAGAGATTGAAGAACACTTCATGGGGTTGTGAAAGTAGCCAGAGTAGTCATACCTTCAAGCCGACGAGCACGGCATGTGTCTTGTTGACCAGTCCCACCACCACGGATCCTTGCTTCACGGCTTCCTGTGCGTATTCAACCTGGAATATCCGACCTTGCGGGGAGCTGTGCGCATAGTCCCTGATTAGCACAACACTGAAGGTGTCTTTGCGTTGGGTCTTGAAGGACGAGAGCAGCTGGCGATAATACATACAAGGTGACGGCATCGTTGTCGTAGTTGTTTCTGAACATGGCGGGAAAATGTGATGAGGATCGGGTTTCAAAGGAGGAGTCAAGGGATTGAAGAGTAATCCGATCAGGGAAAAGATGTAGGAGATGAGTGGTAGTGGGGGGAGAACAGGAAAGAATGAAGCGAGATAGAGTGATAGTAGTAAGTAGTGGAGGAGGTTCGGACAGGCAGAGAGCAACTGACGCGGTGACGGCCAGCGAGAGCAAGAGAGAGCAAGAACGAGAGCTTCCCGCCGCTAGTCAATTAGCAGCAGCAGTAAGCTGACCTCCGCCGCTCCGCAGTTGATGATTGTTGCCTGAGGCTGTCAGCACCAGCACCAGCACCAGCACCAGCACCAGCACCAGTCCAGCGCCCGGACGTCACTGACTACTTACTACTCGTAGTCCATCCAGCTAAGCTTGTATCACCCATACCTACCTGCCTGCCTATCCCCAACTCCCTCCCCATTCTTCTTACTCACTTTCCCTTCTAGTCTTGGGTTTCCCGGGCAGTCGATCCACAACCCTTATTCTCTTTTACTGCATCTTGCTTGATACCACTTGCTCAGCGTCTTCTGACCTTCCTCACTCTCCACTACTCTCCCCCTCAACAAAGCTATTATTCCCTATCGACCCCTCCTCCTCACACCGACTGGGGCTTCTCCGCAACCATGACCGCCGGACTCAAAACAATCATCGCACTCTCCTTTGTATGCGCGCTTCTAATTCTTTGGTCCTTTCTTAAATCACCTGCTTGCACCTACTAATGCATTTCATCCAATAGGTCCTTGCCATTGGTTTTCTTCTTGTAATCCTGTCTTCGGCTCTCTGGCACAACTTCCTACCGTTGCTTGTTGTTGCGACTTATGTGGTTGCGCCCCTGCCCAACTGGATCTGCTCACGATGCGCCAATCCGGATGACTTTATGGACAGCTCCGGCAACGCAGCTGCCGACTTTGGCCGCTTCATAACCGGTTTCTTGGTTTTGATGGGTATTGGTGAGTTCGCACTTTTCGATCCCGGAAGCATGATCTGCGAGCGCCCTTGTCAATATCTGGTGACGAGAGCTTTGGCTCACGGTGCTTGCGATGCCGGATTTGCTTCTTGAGACCGTCCGAGGCAGCTAACCAAATTTACTCGATCCAGCTCTCCCAGCCGCCCTTGCGCATTGCGGTGCGATCGAAATTCCCGCCATGGTCATGTCAATTGTTGGAGGTCTCCTCATCTACGGAACTATCATCAGCTTCTCGATGTTCTTCAAGGAGCAGGAGGACTTCTGAAAGCCGAGCGCCGTGCTTTCCAGCAAGGCAGGCTTCGCGTTGGATACCCACCCTGCAGAATGTTTCTCCACCTAGCATGAACCTATCCCCCCCAATGTGTCTACCAGCTTTTCATATTTTTCACGAGCCATCGATATGATTTACCGTTCCGTAGGAGTATTACGGTGACTTTGCGTGTGTTCATGGGGTTTGCTATGATTTTGTGTTTGTCATTTGGCGATGCGGTCGATGTATTATAGCCACTATGCACCTATATAGAATATTGGCAGTACGGGCCTATCTCATTGCCGGTAAGATCATCCGATGTAGATTACCAAGTTGTCCGGATCACCTCGTCATGCGGCGATGCGTTCCGCCTTGAGCTTATAATGGAATCACGTGGGATCGCGCTCCGACGGCGCGTTCGTGTAAAATACCCGCCGGACATCGACCAGCTCGGAACTTTTTGTACTTACGATTCACAATTCTCTCGTTACCCGATAAACCTTGAGTTCACGATATGTGAGTTGCTTGTATAGTTCTAGATACGCAGAATGAATGTCTGGACTGGCGCGATCGCCTTAGAGGGCGGAGCACAACTCCACGGTAAGCCGAATCCGACAAAACTGCTTGCGTGCATCTGCTAAGTTTTGTGTTCAGGTCTACGATTAGTCGATAGATCATTCAATTGGCAATCTGATCTTTCAAAAGAATCATGTCTCAGCTTGCGCTGCTTCGTAAATCCGGCGCTTATACCCCTCCACGCGCGATCTGGTCCTAACCTTGAACTCCATGCGGGGAACCCCGATACTACAATATGGCTCAAGGACAAGTTGACGAGTACTATTTGGCTGGAAGAAAACGAGCTTGACCGGCTGCAAATATTTCAGTGCCCGGTTGGTCTGCTTGTTCGTGTCGACGACGGCGCACCAGCCAAAGCCTCCAGTACCGGCACAACCGACCTATTGATCCACGGCGTCCTCTCAACGACAGCCTCCTCCGAAAGGCCTCCCACCCCACCTGGATCGTCATCATCAGATCTGGAAGATCAGGTTCGATCTACCACCAAACAAGAGCTTAGAATCTACGCTACTCCCATATCCGTATCTCTAATCACCAGAGCACAATCCGCGTCCGCACCTCCCAACACCGACGACTCCATACACGATGACGAGTTCGCTCACTTTCTCCCGGACATCTACTCTCCAAGCCCAAAACGGAAACGAGTTGCCACTCTCTTTGATTCTGTCACACAGCATCATAAAAGAGTCCGGCAGAAGGGCGGCGAAGCGGTGTCGCAATTAATGGCACACTCACTCTCGCACGCCTCCCAACAGCAACTCCAAGCGCTACGGATCAAGCGCGAATCCGAGGAACCTTCTCTTCCTCAGATCGAACGCATTGCATCGCAGCGAGCACGGTCCCTTTCCATTGGAGGGAGCATTGCAGGGAAGACGCTCGAGTCTCGATTCGATGCCTCTCGACCCAGCAGCAGACGAGGCCATCTGCGGGATCTTGGCTCTCGGAAAGGTACGCCCAATCCGTTCATCGACTCCACCACCACCACCACTACAAGTTCGTCCACTTCCAAACGAGACTGTGGATCGTCACCCTCACTACCGCCGGGAGGCAAAGTTGAATATCCGACGACACCAAAAGACGCCGGGGCAATCATTGCCGAGAATAAGAACACAATCACGCGGACGATCTTGACGTGTATGCGGCTTTATGGCTTCAACCGACCTACTGCGACACGCTCGGGAGGTCCCAGTAGACCGCAAACCGGGACCGGACCGGGATATCAGGACGAGACGCCGGAGGAGAAAGATTCGCGCATAGTAGCAGATGCCGGGTCAAATGCGGATGAAGATGAATTCAAGGCCATGTATCACGCGACCTATCGCGCGTCAACGTTCGCTTTGCGGAAGTATCTGAAGGAGACGGCAGCCGCAGAAGAATCTGGGCTGGTGGGGCTGCCACCATTGTTGGAGAAAGCGAAGGCAATGACGTGCATTGATGAGTTCTTGCGACTATTCTGCGAGGAGAACTAAGCCTGGCTGGTACAGGTGATGAATAATGAGTTATGATAAATACATAGTAAGCAGTGCTGGGTTGGTAGGGTCAAGTTATTCGAGGGTGTAATAAAGTACGCGTGAAACTCTGGGGATCACTTTGAAACAAGAATATGATACCACAATATCAAATGACATAATTTAAATCAATCTATGGATAGAACATGATTGTTGAGTGTGCATTGTACACAACGGCCAGGAATGTATGCATGCAACACTCGACCGGCCGATGATTCTTCCGAGCTCCGACCGGGCAAGCAACTGCATCATCGCCGGCAAGCTAGCGCGAATGACCGCAACCTGCCGATAACCAGCCCGAACATCTTGTACTACCTACTCCGTACCTTGACTATTTACCTCCAACTCAGCGACTACGATCTCACCTCCACCACCGTCTTTTCACTCACTCACTCACTCACTTACATCTTGATCAGCTTGGGCAAACATGGACGTCTCCAACAACCGCCTCTTCCGATGGTCCAAGCCTGAATGGCTCAACAACTCCGCCGTCCGCAATGCAGGCGTCTACACCTCCGGCGCACTGGTAAGCTTTCACCTTCAGTCCCTCTCCCTTCGCGTCCCCGGTCCACCCTTTCCTACTACCATACACTTGGAAGCCGATGTGATATTAATATCAAAATGTACCGAACCAGTTCTCCCTAGGCTTCTTCTTCCTCATCGACGCGGCCGCCTTCTCGCACAGCGCCAAGAACGGCTCCAGCGTGCACGTGAAATTCGTCGACTGGATCCCCGGCATCTGCTCGGCGCTGGGGATGCTGGTGATCAATTCGATCGAGAAGTCCCGGCTGCATGCGGATAGCTTCAGTTACAGCGGGAGTGGGGTCGCGTGGAAGGCGCGGTTTGTCTTGTTTCTGGGGTTCGCGCTGTTGGCCGGGGGGTTGGCGGGGAGTGTGGTATGTTTGTTCCTTTGTTTTCTTTTGTGTTTCTCCGTTGGGCTTGGGCTTGGGACCTTACGGGGAGGGGGCATGGGCATCTGATGCCTTTAGAAGGGAAATGGCTCGCTAACAATTGCTTCGCAGACGGTCATGGTACTCAAGTATCTGATCAAGTCGTACCCGTTTCCCACCTTGTATTTTGGAATCGCCAATGTCATTGCTAATGGGTTGGTGATGTTGAGGTATGTTTCCTTTTCTCTGGTGGCGGTTTTGGTCAATGGTCAGTGGGGGACTAATGCTGTTGGTGTAGTTCGGTGGTGCTCTGGGTTTCGCAGAACATTGAAGACGATTATACCTATAATCTGGCTCTATGAATGAAAATCAAGGGTTGGAGTGGATGAAGAGGGATATAGTGGGTGGCTTTGCAGCGAGGATGGGTTCACTACTGGACCTAGGGAGGGAGGTTATGATTTCAGGTTGAGCAATTGGACTCTGGTGCTTTTTCTTTGCGTGATTGGCGTTTCTGTTTTATGTTGCCTTTAATTGCATTTGTTGGTTGGTCCTTGTTTGTATGTGGTTCGTTTAGCCTGTTAAATCGCGCATGGTTATTCATCTATTTGATACATGTTCTCAGATGATATATCTAGTAAAAGTGTATGCCTGATGGCAACATTGACTGCTTATGCACACTTATCTTGGTAATGATAGGAGCAAAGGGCACAAATCGTTGAGTGGCCATGATTGCATACATGAGTGTTGCCTATGGTGCATTCTTTAGGCCACCGCAAACTTCCTACCAATATATGTCCACGATGTATACGTATTGCCAAGAATAGGAAACGTCAGAACCGATAGGCTGAAAGATATATTCTGCGTAAACAAAACTTCTTTTCCTTGAACCTGTGTAAAACGTTCATTGTTCATTGCAACAAATAATCAAAATACGCATTAAAAAAAAGTGGGTATATTCTCATGCATAGCAGTAAGGGCTCATGACATGCAGAGCCATGTAAGCGGATAATCCCGCCCCAAGTGCGGGACATGATCTGGTTCATAGAGGTCCAGGTCCCATCATGGACCCAAGCCAAGTGCTTGTCACCAGGCACTTTTACTCCCAGATCGACAGGCAACTTTATCAACAGCCAGGAAAGACGCTCTGGTAGATATGCAGTCGCCTGATTGTGCTCGGAAGCAGTTCAACGTCGGCGAGCTGTGAATATGTTCCGGTAATTTATGATTCGACAAGCCGAATAACCCGGCCTTCACGGCCGTACAGCTAGTAGCGATTTCGTGCAGGGCGTGCGACAACCTCATAATATCGGCCTTCAGAGCCAAGCCGCTCAAGCAGACTCAACCTGGTGAGCACGCAGCTTGTCCATGAGCGCATCCACAGCATCCATGTCGCCAGCGTCGATCTTGTCGCGAGAGTAGCCCTCAGGCAGGCTCTTGGTCACTTCATCCATGGCAGGTTGGTAGTTGCGGACCGCGGAGGAGATGGCGTAGATGGCCTTCTTGCGAACATTGGGGGTAGAATCGGTGGTGGAGATCGTCACAAGCTTCGGAAGGGCGTTGAGAACGACGAGCTGACATTGTCGTTAGATTTTAGGCAGAGAGGCGTTGAGGTGAGGGGGGGAGGGGCATACCTTATCCTGTGCCTTCTCATTATTCTGCACCGCAGTTCCAATACACCAGGCGGCCATGCGTCTCATCTCTGCCTCCTCGTGCTGCAACAACTCCACCAAAGGAGTCCACAGGCCCAAGGGCTCCAGGTTGTTGGCATTATCAATGCCCTCAATCAGCTGCTCGAAGTTATCGAACGCGATCAGCTTGTTCTCGAGATCCACCTCATCGGAGCGCAGAGCCTCCATAGACGCTTTCATCAGGTCGGCGTCGGTGGGACCGCCGAAGAGCGCAGAAAGCATCTCGGGATTGAGACCACGCGAAGCGGCGCTGGAGGGCTGTGGGGTACCATCAGCAGCAGCAGCCCCGGTGTTGTCACCTTCGTCGGTGCGGTTCTCGGTCGAAGCTTTGATGCTCCATTTGAGCAGGTTGTTCATGTTGGCGTCCATCTTGAGAGGGTTTTTAGATCAGAAAGCTGTAGGATATTTCGAAAAATAGATAGATCGGTCGTGACTGGAACTTAAATATGTACTATTACAGACAAGCAGGAATGAATTGGTCGTGGGGAATAATTATGGGTATGGTGGTGTTGAAGAAGTAGGAGACGTCCCGGCCACTCTCAATGACTGACAATTTGGCGGGCGGAAAAAAAATTGGAGTGACGTTCGGGAGGGATCCAGAGGGTTCATGCGGTTCCCGCTACCTTCCACTCTCTTCCATCGCCAGCTTACAATGGCAATAGCTAGCAATCAAGGGCTATTACTACCATTCAATTATGCATTTGGTCAATGTCTATTCCAAAGTCACTTACGCTTCTAGGCTCGATATCTTCTCTCTGGGGACGGTAATTGCTTTCGATTCGGTTGAGCAATGCTGGCGATGAATACCCCGCCATCGGATACCCCGCGATGCGGTCATTTGTGATATCAGATCAAGAAACAGTCAACCGTTAAAACACATCGTGCCATTTGTCTGACATTGCATGTACGTCCTTGATTGTCGTGATTAGGCGAACACCAAAACATTACATCCTCGAGGATAAGCAATTGGTCTAGGTGCTCGTTGAATCGGCCCCTCTCCTTAACCCCCCATCCCCCAAAAGAATCACATTAGGGGCGGTTATGAATGATCAGGCATCAGTCGATCGATTGTCGCCCATTACCAACGAAGCACTAATCGTTACATTGAATTTCGGGGGTTTGTCGAGCTTCCTCCGAAAATTGACCCTCTTTCCGGTCGGGTCAGAAATGAAGAAAGACGATCATGGACCCGTTCAGGGACACTGAGCACAAATGACAGAGTACGCTAGAAAACGTCCAGATGAATGAGGGGCCGACACTTTACGTGAAGTCAATAAACAACCCCCCTTAGACTACTACGGACTTAAGAGCTCGACTGGGGCTCCATTCTTTCGAATCGAAGGAAAGGGGAGGGATCCAGAAGCCGGAGGGGCCTTCCGACCGTCCGACTATCAGGAGTTTAGGAAGAGGGGAGGGGGGAAGGGAGCGATGATGATTCCTTGGCCTAGACTAGACTAAGCTATTATTATCGCGCGTGGCATCATCGGACATCATTCAGCAACCTGTTCTCTGGTCCGGAAGGCGGCGACGACAGCAACCCTGGATCAGGATCGATTGTGCCCCACGAGGGATGCGCAATGCGCAATGCGCAATGCTTTTACTCCAGACTTTCCGCAGCAACAATCATTCTGCCTGAAGGCAACCACTATTTGAATGTTAGATGTGTGTGTGTGGAAGGGATTGATAGGTGTGTATATAAGATGGAGAGGAAGAACCGGGGGGGATCTGGATCATGGATGAGAATCCATTGAGCTCGTGGTTCGGAAATCGTATTCGCATTACACATTTACACATTTACCTCCTCCCATCTCCAGTACCCGGTTTTTCCACCACCCCCCAATTGTGAGGCCGTCCCCGAATTGGGTAGTGTGGCGGTGACAGCAACTGGCACTAAAGACACTAAGTTGAGCTGGTGCAATCAACGAACTGCTTTACACTCAAACTAGACTCAGACCAGTCTAGACAAACAGACAAACCCCCACAATCTCTTTCTCTCCCTCTTTCCTCCTTTTCCCCCTCCTTCTGCCTCCCCTGTCCCAGAAGGACAACTATACAGTACTGTTACCGAGGAGTTCAGTACACAACTCCCTCTTCCTCCTCCTGAGACCACCAGATCTAGGAAAATAAAACCCCCCTCACCCGTAAGTAAGAGCTCAAGAACCCAATCCCTACCTACCCATCAATTGATTTAATCCACTAATTGTTAGCAAAGGTTTTTAATTTGTGGTGGTTGTCTTATTCTTGTTCTTGTCTTGTTCTGTCTTGTGTTGTTGTGTTGTGTTTGCTGACTACGCACCCTCACCCGCCGACCTCCTAAACTCACAGCCTTTCCCTTTCCCTCTCTTGCCTCTCTCTCTGTGTCTGGTGCTCTACCAATAACTCACTCAACTCTCTTTCCCGCCTTCTCTCTCCTTCTCTCTCCCTCTCCCTCTTCCTTTCTTACCTCTTCCTCTATCTCTCTCTCTCCTTCCCCTCTCCCATCTCATCACCACCCACCCACCCAACCTCACCACCACCACAAACCACCCTCCTCTCCTCTAATTCTCTTCTCTCTTTTCTTTCTCTTTCCGTAGTTCGATTTTTAATCCCACAGTCACCATGGAAGGTAAGCTTTCGGCCACCTTGCGTCTCTCGCTTGCTTCCCCGAGCTCTCCCCTGAAGCCGTCCTCTCCCCTCCCCCCCCCCCCCCTCGTCTCATCTCCATCATGATTTCACCAACTTAACATTTTTGCATTTTGCTAACTGTCTTCTCTTCAAATTTATAGAGGAAGTTGCTGCTCTCGTCATTGACAATGGGTATGTTCTGAGATTGCTGATGGTTTCTGGCAATGGAGCTTGTTTCTTGTGTTCCGCCCATGCTGGGGGGTGAGATGGCAAAACATACGTGTCGGCTCCGGTCGCGACACTGAACAATTTCCGGTTGCCAACGTACTTGCCTGAATCTCCCCTCTCAAGCCTAGGGAAATATGAGAGCTATTGAGCTTCAACCATCATTCATCCGAAGCTCCTACTAACTGGTCTTCTCCAGTTCGGGTATGTGCAAGGCCGGTTTCGCCGGTGACGATGCTCCCCGTGCCGTCTTCCGTAAGTCATTCCCCCTCCCCCCACCAGTTTTTCGGACTACCCCTCCCTACCCTCGTGATGGCCACCCTCTCTGCAAGGCATGCTTTCATAGCTCCCTTGCATTGGGTTGGCATTATTGCGGGGGAGGAGAGCGGGCGGTGAATCGCCCCTTTCTGCCATCATTCTAGGATACTAACCATTGCCTACAGCCTCCATTGTCGGTCGTCCCCGTCACCATGGGTAAAGCTTCCCCTTTTCAATCCGAAATGGGCTTCCATGAATCTAATGAATTCGCAGTATCATGATCGGTATGGGTCAGAAGGACTCCTACGTCGGTGATGAGGCACAGTCCAAGCGTGGTATCCTCACCCTCAGATATCCCATCGAGCACGGTGTTGTCACGAACTGGGATGACATGGAGAAGATCTGGCACCACACCTTCTACAACGAGCTCCGTGTCGCCCCTGAGGAGCACCCCGTCCTCTTGACCGAAGCCCCCATCAACCCCAAGTCCAACCGTGAGAAGATGACCCAGATCGTCTTCGAGACCTTCAACGCCCCCGCCTTCTACGTCTCCATTCAGGCTGTCCTGTCGCTCTACGCCTCCGGTCGTACTACTGGTATCGTTCTGGACTCTGGTGACGGTGTCACTCACGTCGTCCCCATCTACGAGGGTTTCGCCCTCCCCCACGCCATCTCGCGTGTCGACATGGCCGGTCGTGACTTGACGGACTACCTCATGAAGATCTTGGCCGAGCGTGGTTACACTTTCTCCACTACCGCTGAGCGTGAAATTGTCCGTGACATCAAGGAGAAGCTTTGCTACGTCGCCCTCGACTTCGAGCAGGAGATCCAGACCGCCTCCCAGAGCTCCAGCCTCGAGAAGTCTTACGAGCTTCCTGACGGTCAGGTTATCACCATTGGTAACGAGCGCTTCCGTGCTCCTGAGGCTCTCTTCCAGCCCAGCGTTCTGGGTCTCGAAAGCGGTGGTATCCACGTCACCACCTTCAACTCCATCATGAAGTGTGATGTTGATGTCCGTAAGGATCTGTACGGCAACATTGTCATGGTGAGTTTCTGTGTTTGATTGTTCCCTCATGAGCGCTCAATAATGATGAATTAGTCCGGTGGTACTACCATGTACCCTGGTATCTCCGACCGTATGCAGAAGGAGATCACCGCCCTTGCTCCTTCCTCGATGAAGGTCAAGATCATTGCTCCTCCCGAGCGCAAGTACTCCGTCTGGATCGGTGGTTCCATCCTGGCCTCCCTCTCCACCTTCCAGCAAATGTGGATCTCCAAGCAGGAGTACGACGAGAGCGGTCCCTCCATCGTCCACCGCAAGTGCTTCTAAGGTATGTTGTGTTCTTCTGTGGTGAACTGGTACGTGTGCTAATCTTTTGTAGCTCTTGCGCGTGATTCGTTTCGTACTCTCATATTCCCTCATGTATCAAAAGACCCGACGGAGACATTGGTGACTGGCGGGCCCTCTCTGACTCGCACTAGGAGGAAGATCGCCTGAAAAAGGAACTTTTATTTTAGCTGTCGAATAGAGATGGTTTTTACTTTTTTTTTTCATTTTGAAACACGCTTGCCACTTGGCCCAGGGCCACCATCCCTGGCTACCGCCCGGAAAATCCGGCGACAAGCGGACCAGGCAATGGTGTAGGACCGAGATGTATATGGGACTTGTGGTCAGTCTGGGGAAAACTCTCTTCATATAAGTCTTTTACACTCGTGTTTAAGTCTTGCACGCGTATTCCTTCTCAGCTGTGACACTATGAATTGCTACTGCAAATATGATGTCTCCGCAAACCTGCTCAACGTAGTCACGCCTGCCGTAGCTGCTGACGAATGAGTTCTGCGCGGGTCGAATGTTCATCATCTCGTGATCCTGGTAGTCCATGGCGGAATTTACCCCGACTTTGTTTGCAGTCAATGTTCGTGCATATGATTTGAGATTTGAGGCTCTGACCATGATGTCATCTTCTCTTGGCCGGCTTCTCATCTACCGGGCACATGACCAGGCTAAGTGATTATTGTGTCTTGCAGGTACTGTTGGCTCTGGGGTTATCAGCATCGACCTACTGTATGTCTGCCTTGCACGTGATTTGAACTAGGTTCAGTGCTGGTTGAACATGGCTGTTTTATAGATTTAGCAGGAGGATAGAACAAAGTCTATTTACTCGAAGCATTATGAGTAAGATAGTGGGGAGACATGAAGTAATTTCAACTCTTCAGGACGAGGAACATGTCCGCTGTCCGACAAGAGTAGATGAGAGTTTTCTTTTTTTTGCATGTATTGCATGTTGATAACCAGGTTCAGAATCCACAAATTAGATAATTGTTCATGCTCGTGTGGGGCTCGAACAAAGAAATCATGTCACTCTCATTGAGAGGAGGTATATGTAATAAAATCATAAATACATCCAAGAAACAAACCAGGCAAACCATGCTCTGGTGGCACAAATCGTAATAAACATCAATCACACCGCTCCCTCATCTAAACATAATCCCGAGGAAGTACTTTTCATTCAAGTTTTAGGAGAAAGGGAAAAAAGAAAAACCAATTATTGCAGCATTTGGTATAAATCATTTCAGGATAAGGTTTAAGCGTCCCAGCTCTCCAATCCAGTGAGGACACATCCCTCCTCGCCCTCTTTTCTGGCCTGGAGCTCTCCGATCTCATAGACGGTCTCACCCTCCTTCTGGAGGAGGTCTTTGACGGCAGCCTCGGAGCCCTTCTCGACGGCAATAACCATACCGACACCGCAGTTGAAGGCGCGGGCCATTTCAATGGCCTCGACGTTTCCGGTCTGCTTGAGCCAGGCGAAGACCGAGGGCAGCTTCCAGCCCTCCACGTTGATGTGTGCGGTCAGGGTTGAGGGCAACATACGGGGAACGTTGTCAACCAGACCGCCACCGGTAATGTGAGCAAGACCCTTGATGGCGGAAGAGTTGGGAGCGGTGGGGGTGGCGGAGGGAATAGAGAGGGCTTTGAGAAGGGGCTTCACGTAGATACGAGTGGGAGTGAGAAGGGCCTGGCCGAGTGTCTGGGGCCCGGTGGCAGAGGGCATGGTGAAGGGAGCGGCGGCATCGTAGCTAAGGCCGGAGCGTTCAACGACCTTGCGGACCAGCGAGTAGCCGTTGGAGTGAGGGCCAGAGGAGGCCAGAGCCAGCAGCACGTCACCGGCCTTCATAGCCGCGGTCTCGGGAAGGATAGGCCGGGCGTTGGGGCCCGTAGTGTTGATGGCACCGACGGCGGCACCAACGGCATCGTAGGTGTTGTCGACGAAAAGACCGGGCATCTCGGCGGTTTCACCACCAATCAGGGCACAGCCAGCCTGAACACAGCCATCGGCGACACCTGTGACGAAGGCGGCGGCCGTGGGCACGTCCAGGTGACCGCAGGAGTAGCAGTCGAGGAAGAAGAGGGGCTCCGCACCCTGAACAACCAAGTCGTTGACGTTCATGGCGACAAGGTCAATACCCACGGTGTTGTGTACACCGGCCGCGTGAGCGATCTTGAGCTTGGTACCGACACCGTCAATGGCACCGATCAGGGTCGGGGAGTTGGGGTCGTAGGCGGAGTTGGCGGCGGCGAGGGAGAAGAGGCCACCAAAGCCACCGATCACGGCGTCAGTACCAGGACGCTTGGTCTTGGCGACAGAGCTCTTGATTTGGTTGACGAGGTCGTTGCCAGCATCAATGGAGACACCCGCAGCGGCGTAGGTGAGTGATTCCTTCTGGGCGGCAGCGGCATCGCGCTGGCGGAATGCCCGATGGGCGATGTCCTTGCGGTAGAACATGTCCTCGAAGTGAATGGTGGAGATACCCTCATAGCTCTTGCGGACAGCCTCTTCAAGGCTGGAAGCGGTCGCGGTGGACGCAATGACACGGCCACCGGCGGTCTGCAACTCGCCGTTGACAAGGTTGGTGCCGGCGTGGAAAATGAGGGTCCCTTCGGCGGGAGAGTCAAGAGTGATCTTCTTGCCCTTGGCGTAAGAGCCAGGGTAGCCACCAGCGACGGCAATGACCGTGGTGGAGAAGTTGGGCTTGATCTTGATGGAAACACCGTCAAGCCAGTGTTCCGTGCAGGCAACCATGATCTCGGCCAAATCGGTATCATCGCTGAGCAGGGGCAGCAGGGTCTGGGTCTCGGGGTCCCCACCACGAACATTGTACTCGAGGACCTTGGGGCCGTCCTTGGTCATCATCAAACCGGTAAAGAGAATGCCGACGAAAGGGAAGCCTGGAAGACGTATTAGTGTGATGCAGACACCGAAGGAGGGATGATGGCGGACCGTCTCTTCTCATGCCGTCAACAGATGGCTGCACAATGGTGCGGTCGATCTCATCCAGCACGGCCTTGGAGGAAATGGGGGTCGGGGCGTAGCAGCCCATGCCACCGGTGTTGGGGCCCTGGTCCCCGTCAAAGATGCGCTTGTGATCCTGGGCAGCCGGAAGAGAACGGATGGTGTAGCCGTCGGAGAAAGTGAGAACACTGAGTTCATCCCCCTCCAGGTATTCCTCGATAACGACCTCGCTGCCAGCCTTACCAAACTGGTTCTCAACCATCATCTCACGAAGAGCCTGGTGGGCTTCCTCCTTCGTGGTAGGGATGATGACACCCTTACCACCGGCCAGGCCGTCGGCCTTGATCACGACCTGGTGGGAAACGGAGTCGAGATACTGGCGAGCGGGCTCATATTCATAAAAGTTCTCGTAGGCGGCAGTGGGAATGTTGTGGCGCTTCATGAAATCCTTCGAGAAGGTCTTGGAACCCTCCATGCGGGCAGCGGCCTTGGAGGGACCAAAGCATCGGATACCGACTGTTTGTGACCGTGGTTAGTAAGGCGGCGCTGACTTCTGTGGCTTGAATTTGTGTTTGTTGAGAATACTCACCGGCCTGGAAATAACCCTGGATGCCGTCCACTAGGGGAGCCTCAGGACCAGGTACCACCAGGTTCACGCCGTTCTGCTGGGCGAAGGCCACTAGTCCGGGGTAATCATCGCCCTTGACGTTGGCGTTCTGAATCTTGTCTGAGGCACCGCTGCCGGTACCGCCGTTTCCGGGAGCGACGAAGACGGTGTCGACGCGAGGCGACTGGCTCAATTTCCAGGCCAGCGCATGTTCACGACCGCCATTGCCGACAATGAGCACGCGCAACCGCTCGGTAGTCATGATGAGAGAAGGGGGGAGGGGGAGGCGCGATGGGCTCGAGTGAACCTGAGGGATTGGGTCGAAATTAGTATGGGACGGGACAGAGATGGTGGGGTGGTGGTGGTGGTGGTTACAGGGTGGGACGATAAGAGTCAATTGCAGTCGGAGATAGGGAAGGAACAGGAGAAACGAAGGGAAAGAAGACAAAGAGGAAGAGGAAAAGATGAGCGATGCTTGGGAGGGTGACGGGAAAGACAGAAGCTCTCATAGAGAGAGAGGAGGAGGAGGGGGGGGTTGAGTCAGTCAATACTCTAGAGTCAAAGTGGAGTCTCTCTTGTCTTTCTCCATCTCTGTCTCTGGTATGAATCTGACGGATTCCCATACAGTAATTTCTCAATGTCTGCACCAATCTGAAGACGAGCTTAAGCAACTCACCTAGCAAGCGACCTGCGCGGGAAAAAAAAAAGAAAGGGATGAATTCAAACAGCCCACGAAGTTGACGGTTGAGGGATAGTGGGGGAAGTTTTAAAAGTCAAATCGTCGGTCTTTTTTTTTTTTAGCAGCGATGTCGGATTTTGCCTGGGTTGGCCGCCCGGCGGGGAAGCGGTGATTTGCCCCGACCCCGGATTGATAGGATTGGCCTGAGTGTCTAGGCGGTCGGGTCTTCTCACCGCCTCCGCTGGCAGAAAGGATTCGACTGTTGAACCTGGCAAAGCGGCAAAAAAAAAATAGTGATAAGAGCAACAACCAACAACTTTTGCCGCCTGCCGCCCCGGAGGTTCCAATTCTTTTCATCTGGTCCATCGTCCATTTCGTTTTGGTCTTTCTACATTTCCTCCATATCCTTGTCTTCACCTTCACATAGAACTCGGTTCCTCCTTGATATAGCCCTGAATGCTTCGGGCTTCGTGGCGGTCCGCCGTGACCCCCACGAGGGGTCACGTCTGCTGGTCGTGTCTTTCCCGTGGCTTGACTGCGCCTCCGCATCAGCAATTATGGGCGCGTTCTTTCCAGAGCAGGTCTCGTCTGCGCTCCCAGGCTTTGGCTAGCACCGAGACTGAGAGCCTGCCTAATCCTCCGGCTCCCAATCAGTCCGACATTAATCAACAGCTTGGATCGGAGCCGCAGTCAGGATCGCATCCTAAGGCTGGTCACAATGAGGTCTCCAGAGAAGACGGCTTGCCCAATGAAGCTTCTGACAAAAAGGAGCCGGATCTTGAATCACCCGGGGGAAGGACTACGGTTTTTGCTAGAACAACACAAACCACTTCTGGTAAACTCAAAGCGCGGCAATCTCTAAAACGTACGTGTGATACGAGCTTCCCTCGTGAGCCTGAGCCGGAGAATGAATTCTTCATGAACTGACTGTTGTGCAGCGCTCCCAGTGAAAACAGCGGATGTTCCCGGCCTAGCATTTGGACTGGATCGAGTTTTGTTCAAGTAAGAGCCACCCTCTCTGTTCAAGGCGTGACAATGATATAGCCGCGAGACCTAACAATTGTTCAGCCAGGGAGTTTACACGCTGCGAGACCCAAGATCCAGAGTTTACAACTTCGATCCGTACTTGGGTTCCATTATGCCGGTTACCGAATTTGACTTCCAAGCTTTGAAAGATTACATCACATCCTCCAAGGATAAACAATTGCACTCGCTCGCGCGCGAGGCGGGCAGGAAATATATTGGATCCTCTTCGAGTATGACTTCCGTGCTATCGCACTTTCACTACCTGCTGTCCGCTTGGCGACCCGTCGACACTAGCAGCTTGTCTCAGGGCTTCAGTGAGGAATTGAAGACCTTCACGCGGCTCTTGCGAGCGCCTGCCGCCATGTTCCTGCACTATCAGGACGGCGTCTATGCTATTGATGCCGACAAGGAATTCGACTCAGCAAATATCCTAATGAACCTGGGTAAATCGATGGAGAAGCTACTCACGCTGCCCAAGTCGGATTTTGAGCGCTATCGACGGTCCAGCGCCAACAAGATCACCCCCGAGGAAGAGAATGCGATTCCGGAATCTTACCACTATTCGACACTCGGCGACTTCCTTATGCGTTCGCAATTAGACGCGCACGATCCGCGACTCCCCGGTACCGGCATGTTCGATCTGAAGACCCGTGCCGTGGTGTCAATTCGGATGGATGCGCGTAACTTTGAGCATGGCCTGGGTTATGAGATCCGCCGGCCCCTCGGGTTGTACGAATCGTATGAGCGTGAATATTATGATATGATTCGAGCTGCCTTCCTCAAGTACTCGCTGCAGGTACGCGTCGGGCGTATGGACGGCATTTTCGTTGCATTCCACAATATCGAGCGTATCTTCGGTTTCCAATATATTTCCTTGAACGAGATGGACAAGGCGCTACACGGCCAATTCAAACTCGACTTGGGTGATCGCGAATTCGAACTCAGCATTCAGCTTTGGAATGACATCCTGAACCGTGTCACGAAAGCCTTCCCTAAGCAGTCACTTCGTTTCCATTTCGAAACACGTGGTAATCGCCCTGGCGCGAAGCCCCACATGTATATCTTCGCGGAACCCGTCACGGCAGACGAAATCGCGGCAATACAGAACAAGAACAAGGAGGCCATTGACGCCTATCAGAAACGCGTTTTGAATTTGCCCGATGAGCCGGTGGTGGAGTCGGCCAAGGACGAAGGCGAAGATGAGGCCGTCGAGGATGAAGATCCGAAATATGACACTACCTTGAAAGACCCTACTGACGCCGTGGCGGAAGGGGCGGAAGATGAGGATTACTTCTGTCTGGACAGCAAGCCTGAAATTGATACGACCAAGAAGCTCTTTGCTGCTGTGCTCACAATCGACAATTACGTGAACGATAAGTTGGTCCCCAGACCTGAGAATTTCGGTAGGAAGGATAAGTGGGAGGTCTCTTACAAGATCGATCACCTGGACCCAGAGGATTCGCAGACGCATCGGATGTATGCTCATTGTCAGAAACGTCGCCGGGATGCTCTCGATTTCGAGAAATCGGACGGACTCACTCCCTATCTAAAGAAGCTCCGTTCAATTTCTCAGGCTGGTCGCCGTTACCGTGAGCGGGAGAATCAACGCGATCGGAAAAATGCGCCTGTTGTCTATCGCACGCTCCCCCCTACGGGCATTGGTTCTCCTATCAAGGTACATGTCCGCCACCTAAAGTTGACTGAGAAGGGCAGTAAACAGGCCGCCAAAAAACCTCACAAGAAGGCTTCCCAGAAGCATACCACCAAGCCCGCCGGCAAACCTCGGCCCACCAAGAAGACCAGCGAGTCCCCTCCCGAGCCAGAGCCATCTGCTGAGCAGCCTGCCCAGCAGACCTCCACTCAGGAGAATTAGCCATCGGAGGAGTCCAGATCTCATCCAATCCCACCACCATTACCACCACTACCATCATCATCATCATCATCATCATCATCATCATCATCATCATCATCATCATCATTCAGTCGAGAAATTCGGTCGAAGAATTCGGTCGGAAAATTCTTTGGCATGTAACTTTTACCAAAATCAACTCATTTTCAGATAGGGGCCTGTGTAATTTCAACGCGCATATTTGTGCTGGATAGGAGTTGAGTGATTCCCAAGATTAGAAAGCAATTGATTTTCCTCTTGTCCATCTACTATTGAGTTTCTTTCGTCGGATCTATATAATACGAAACCATTCATCTCTCTTATCTTTCTTTCTTTCTTTCTTTCTTTCTTTCTTTCTCTCTCTAACCCTGACCCTCAACTCCCGCCACTCTTTTCACCTACCCTATGAGGTGGTATTCTTGCGGGACACGTAGAAGTGGATACCTCGATCTTATTGTGTGTTGTAGGTATAGTACCATAGTATGGAATGGATGGCAGCGTCCGGCCCATATCCTCCGGCTGAATATGTAATCCGACCAATAAGCTGATTGATGGAAGGCACGACCGAGTCATGGTCTTCTCAAGACGGGTTCAATGATGAAAGGATGGAAGGGCGGAGTGTACAGAAAGAACAATGGTGACTGGATAAGAGAAAATTTGGTTCTGCAAGTGGACGGATGACTCGTGTGAAAGATCAGTTAAGTCAGTCGAGTCAGTCGAATCGCTACAACAAATAGATCTACCCTGGGGCTTTTGTGGCACCAGGCACTGGGATCTCATCCTACAAGCGTAGCGGAGGTAGATCTCCCCTTGAGAATGCAGGAACTTCGAGTATGTCATCGTAATGAGTGCAAAAATGTACAGCCGCTGAGAATCCATTCATTTGACTTCTGACTTCGGAAAACTCGTGAGAGTCAACAAAGCTAACTAGTTACAAACCCACTCATTCACCGTGGGTATCGTCATTCTTTTTGTTCAGCCCACCCTATCTCGCGTTCAATCCCGCTTGCTAGGGTGGATGAAAGGTATATTCTATTGACATTAACAATTATGGGCATCATAGGGTCCGCAAAGAGAAAGAGACAAAATGTATCCGACAAACTTGGAATGCGCCTCACTGGAAACCCAAAGATACTCAAACATCTCTCGATGGAACTGTTGATTTGAACGCCGCCTAGCCGATGCGCCAACCACGCAGGGTGATGCAGAAAATGAAAAGGGAAAAAAGTTCAAAGTTGTCCTGCTTTTCTCTCCGCCATCTGCCTTTCCTGAGGCGGGCCGGAGATGAAAAGTCAGGATCAGTGTCGTGAGAAGAGAAAGGGAACGAAAATAGTATGGATGATATGGGACAGCACCAGACACTGATGACCAAACTGGCATAAAAACCAGGAGATCCAAAACCAGGTCAGGGCTGAGTGTCGAAAAGGAGTGAAATGCTCGAAGGTGGGCGAAGCCACGTAGAAAGGAACAAAAGCACAGGCGTGCCTTGTAAGATAAGTGGAAGCAAAAGCGAATTGAGAGTAGTGGGGGGAGGTATCACGCAACAGTGGCAGGAAAATCGCGTTTCTTTCGACTAGCGAAAACAGCTTGATATGGTTGTCTCGTCGTTAGATTCATTAAATCATGTCCTTGGGACGAGAATGGCCGGCTTATCGGAAATTATCCAATTCAAGATGAGGAGGTGCCCAGTCCAGTCTTGGTGGCCGATCATTTGATACACACACTGCACCAGACCTCATTTTCTCCATTCTTTTGCGTTCTTTGGATGCACCACTGCTCAAGAACCCCCTCAAGGTGGAGGATGCCGATCCGTAGGTGCTTCGCGTACTTGTGCCGGTTCCCGTAGAAACAGTGCTGGAGCTGCGGGCACTGCGAACGCTGCTGGTCTTGTTCACCACCGGAGGTATGGCTGGAACTGGCACTGCCAAACGAGGGTTGGAGCCCGTGAATTCTAAAGGCAGGAATGACTGGCTTCCATAATCTGCTAATGAGAAGGGGGCTGTTTGCGGGCGTTCACGAAGCTCAGCGACCAAGCTACTCTCGGCGTCAAGGCTGTTAAACATTTCCAGATGAGTCTTCGGGCTGGTACCTCCATCATCGGGCTGCGGTGGTGGTTGGATTTCATTGGTCGATACCGTTACATCCAGTTTCAAGTTATCGAGCATCAGTCCCAGCGTTGTTGCAGTAGCCGGCCGCCCTTCGCTGGAATTGTCATCGTCGAGCTCGGCGCTACCATCGTCCAAGCCATGCGCCAGGTTGTAGTTTCGAAACAGGTATCGGCGCAGGCGCGCGACCTCTGCGTCCCACTTTTGGTTCAATGATTGCAAGATGACTTCGACATCTTGTTGCATCAAAGAAGCATCCGCAGGGGAGAGCAGGTTGGAAGTTGAGGCACCCGAACGGTGAAGAGATGACGGCTGCTGTTTGGACAGTTTGCTGCTACTCGAGCTTTTGTTGGTTATGGCAGCCTGGATCGAGCGACGAATAGAACTGGTGGTTGAGCTCTGAGCCAAGCCGACGTCCCGCTTAACGCTCTCAACTTCTCGCCGCACCCGTTCAAGAGACTGGACCCGGTCTCGGTCCATGCAGGAAAGACTCAGTAAGGATCGGTTTCGCTGCAGACCATTCACCAGGACCGTGAACGACTGAAGGTTGATATCGTTATTCTCACAGTAAACCTCGCGCAGACAGTCATTAGCTTCCAGCACAGATGCCAGGGTGTTTGCGCCCTGCAAACCAAGTTTCTGATGTTCTATCCTCAAGACTTGCAGAGACTTGTTCTTCTTCAAGCCAGTGAGGGCCAGATTGAGACCGATCCCAAACCGGGCGACATCCAAGTGCGCGCTCTCCCCACTGATGTCCAAATCTTCTAGCGTCTCGTTTTCCTCGAACATTAGCTGTAGTGCCTTGCAAGTCTCCGGCCCGGCATCGTAGGGCAGGGACGCTTTCGAGATATCCAGGTATTTCAGAGAACGATTCACCCGTAGAGCTTCGACTAACTCTTGGAACTGCTCCTCTTTCTTGAAATCAATCATCCGCATAGACAAGTGCGTTGGAGTCTTGTTCTGAGCTATGGCGTCGAATAGATACGAGCAACCCTGATCAAGGCGATTCTCGTTTACATGCAGATGCAGGTTGCGAGACTCAAGGACCGCCATAGAATGCAGGAAGATCGCCACATCCTGACCACTCAGACCACACTGGTCGAATTTGACAACGCGCAAGCCTTGGGAGCGATCGCTAGCCAGATACGTGGCAATAGCGTCAACGGTCTGCCGGTTGACAGCTGTCCGGCTCAGCGAAAGTTCCTCAAGGCGCCAGTTGATTAATGTCTCAGGCGTGAGAAGTGGCTCCGGACCGGATGTGCGCGAGATTCGCGACAAGTCCAGAGTCTTGATGTGGCTGAAGTAACCAAGATACTGCGGAAGGATATCCGGGGTCAGGCGACCTTGTACGCCGGAAATGTTGATCGCCTCCAACGTGTGCGACTGAGCAACGACGGTTGACAGTAGCAAGTCCAGATCGTGCACAGATAGGCCACAATTGCCCACTTCGAGTGCCCGCATATGACTTCCTCGCTGCGAGGCCGCATCGACAAGATAGTCCAGGTCGGAATCTCCCAGTTTGATGCCATTGAGAACAACCCAGTCCACGCTCGTCAGCTCTCGACGACATATCGGAAAGATCGCCTCTGGGATACCACAGCCGGGGTCATGACTTTCACTATCAGACTTGGGGACGCGGCTCAGTGTGTAGGAAAAGTCAAGGCGTCTGAGCCATTTGCTCTTCAGTGTCAAGGCCCGAACTTCTTGAGATAAAACAGATAGGTCCTCTTGCCCGGGAATGTTAATGGTCGCACCAGCACGGCTCAGAAGAGCATCTTTGTCTGTCCCATGCGTGTCGCGCAGCCCCTGGAGAGCATCCAAGCTCACTCCGCTGAATGAAATCGCACGGAAAGACTCGTTGTAGCGCAAGGCCCGCAGAACGGCGATCAATTCCAAAGCCGTATACTTCCGACGTGCTGAAGGAGGCAGTAGCTTGAAACAGGGAGCATCGTCACATTGCATGTCGATCGTATATCGGATGTTAGACGTATCGATGTCGTAGCTGGCAGAATAAGCAACCAAGGTTCGGTCGAAGCAACCGAAATCTTCGTCAAGATCTACCGGGGGGAAATTGTTTTCGTTGTCGAGGTCTCGGGGAACGATGAAGTCATAAGGCTGCTTGAGCCATAACGGTCGCAAGAATTCCGTCTGTTGTCTGATCCAGAACGCAACCTCCAAAGAATGAACGGATGCAAGGAAAACGGAGAATGGTTTGCGAAGGGGCAAGCGAAATGTCAGATGTAAGCTATCGTCCCCCCACTCCATCGACAGGCAGGTCAAATTCATGAGTCCAAAGGACGTTGCAGCGTCCAAGTCGCTCAACGATACCACAGAGCTGCGACTGGAGATTTTGTGTAGGGGAATAAGATGGAGTTTGTGAGAACCCAGAGCAAGGTAACAACCGGTAGGTGAGAGTTTGGTGAGATCCTCCGACGAGGCCCGCGTCGGAGATTTGCTGGATGCCATCTGGATGACTCGGAACATGCGAAACGTCTCGGGGTCGTAGTCCCGTTCGTAGTCCAGCATTCGCACCACACAGTCCACCGTCTTTCGGTCAAATGGTAAGGGGTCTGCTCCTCGGATCAGCTCCGCCGCGGAGCGAATGCCCACCATCCATAGGTTGAGTTCCTGAAAATCCGGCGTCTGCATCTGAATAAAGGTGGCTTTCTGTGCTCGCTCATCGACATAGGCGACCTCCACTGTGGACGACGGCCGACCATCGTCCAACATGTAAACTGCAATGATGCTATTCAGGGCAATTCCGGAAGAGTTATCGCCAGGCATCCCCAGCTGCGGATCCTGCATCGAGCTGATGGAGACGACGGACTGACGATTGCTTGCCAGGGACCGGGAGTAAGACGAGGGGATAGATGGAAACATGTCGGCGGCTTTGCTCTGATTCTTGAACCGGACCAGGTGGGTATCGGTCAGGACCAAGTAGTGACTCTTCTTTCGCCACATGCCGCCTGTGATCTGAATTTCGCCATGGTGCAAGATAATGGAACCGATACCTTGCCGGATGTCGGGGTTGTCTTCGTCCAGGGAGCTGGCTTTGGAGCGGCCAAGGGAGCGGTCGTCATCTTCCAACGAATGAAGGGAGCGCAGCGAACCGAAAACCGAGGCCCGTCTCTTCTGCATCGACTTGCGTCGAGAGCGCGGGCCCTCGAGGGCTGGTGGGGGCATCATGCATGCTGTCGATTCCGAATCGGCGGTGCCGGGACGACGCAGGGTGTAGCTGGTGCCGACTCTTGGCGGACTGGGGTTCCGGACCCCAAAGAAGCCAGAGTTGCGGCGTGATTTCTTTTTCGAGGCTTGAGCATCCTCCGAGGGCGATCGTTGGTGTACTGCGGGGTCGGACAGGGAAGAGGTTGTGAAGGATGGGCTAAAGACGCTCAGGCTTTTTCTCCGCTCTTTCTTCCCCAGAAGGTCGGCCATGACGGGGATTTAGGGGAAGGATGAGGGCGGAGAAAAGGGGTGAAGAGAAGGTGGGAAGAAGCGCTCGAAATGCGAAAGGAGGGAGGGATGGAGGAAGCTAGCTAGCTAGCTAGCTGCAGCAATCACGGGCAGTAAGCGGCAGCAGTGGTCAAATGGTGGTGGTAGGATTGGGGTTGTTTGTTTTTTTTTAAAGAAAGGATATCACATTGAGAGGCCGAAAATGGGGTCTCACTGGAGAAATGCAAAAAGCGAAAGGATGGCGACTGTTAGCATGAATCATGACCGATGGCGATAAGAGAGAGATTTTGAGGGGGGGAGTGGGTGGAAAGGAAGGAGAGTGGAGAGAGTGTGAGAGGGAGGAGTATGATGGGTTTGGGGCAGAGGAGATTGGAGCAAGACACAGGCAGGAGTGATTGAAACCCCAGCGGTTGACTAGTGACTTAGAGAGGTGGAGCTGGGCGCGGATGCACCAAATGAGGAGCCACGGGCAGGGGGGGAAGGAGGGGGAACAAGGCAGGAGGAGGAGAGAAGGGAAGGGAAAAGAAAAAGAGAAAAAAACAAAACCAAAAAGAAAAAGGTGGAACATACAGCAGCCATCAAGGCAGTTGGAATTGCGAAATTGGTAGGTGAACTTGGGTAGTGCAAGGTAAGACTCAATACCAGATGGAGTCAAAGAAGAAGGGGGGAGAGAGGGAATTGAATGAGTAAAGAGAAGGATCTTTCGTTGACCTTCGCGATAAACTGAATGTCAATGTCAACAATTGCAAAAAGACCACTTGAAGCCAGAAAATCAGATTTGTGTCCAAACCGAATGATATAGTAACAGATAGCAGAAGAAGAGAATGTATGTGTGGAGGAGGTCAAAACAAGAACCGGCAAACCCCCAGACCCGTGGATCGAAGTTCGGAGACCGTCAGTTGGTTTAAATGGAGGGGGGGAATGGTGGATGGAAAGAGGGGATGGGAAGATCGGAGTGGACGGCGATCTGCTTAGAGTATAACTTGATAGACGTGTAGATCAAGCCGGGAGATGAGGTCGTCGTCACCGTGATGATTTCAACCTCTCCCTCATACATTCGCACAAGCTGTCAAATCCCCAGATGGTCGACCGGACACGGAAGGTGTTTGTCAATCCCACGAGGGGGGGAGGAGGGGGAGAGAGAGAAAGAAAGAGCGAGACAGCAGAAAGAGAAGCAGAAGAGCTCACCAATCTGTGTAATAAGAATTTTGCTCACTACTATTACTACTACTGGGTAGTGTCTGGTCTGGGTGGCGATTCCCTTAGAGGAGGATATGGAGCTTGGGAGGGCAACTAGCAACGGTGACAATGCCAATGCCAATGCCAACGACAATGACAATCAATGACAATTGAAGGCGCCCCCGGATGAGGCAAGCAAGAGATGCAAACAGAAGGTCAGGTGCTCAGGTATTCAGGTACTCAGGTACAGCTTCAAAGCGATTGTTTAGAATTTGAGTATTAGCGTTCCAGTTCCAGTTCCAGTTCCAGTGTTCCTGACAGGGACAATCCGGAGAATATCAATTATTGGATCCCGGATCCAGGCAAATGATGTCAGTGTCGAGAGAGTCTCTTCCCGCAAACGATCGTCCAACAAACCCTGACAAACCAACACTGCCAACCCCCTGCGAACAGCATCCAACATGTAAATGTGACGAGGGAAGTAAACTCAAATCCAATTGTTGAGTGGAATTGAAGTCATTGTATCAGTCGAAGTGAGGGGAGATCAGGGGGTAGTAATCCGTGGAGTTTTTTTCTCAACGAGGATATGTGAGGGAGGACCAAAACGGAAAAGGTTCCCTCCTCGGTCTCTCAGAGCTACTAGGACTTCTTCTTATTTCTACTTTATTCATATATCTTCTATTGTTCAATATCACCTCCCAATCGTGAAAATGTCAGTACTACTAGACAATCAGAACCATCCACACACTTCTTCTATGCCAAGTCACCACTTCCACAATACCTCACCAGCTAGACCAACAATAGATAGCAATTCGGGACCGCCTCACCAGCCCAAAATTCCGTTCCCAGCCGAAATTTGCACCGAGTAGTCACTGTCGCCGCTCGCTTAATGAAGGGAATACAAATCAGGCACTCTCCCCGACCGTAGAAATCTTCTTCCTCTTCCTCTTTTCTCTTTTGTCTTACCCTGCCCTTCCCCTCCTCTTAGTCCCACTCAGCACCCCAGATAACTCAGAAGCTGCCCCCCCCCAAAATCCCTCCAGGCGATCAATGGTGGACTGCAAAGTGTGAAACGCGTTCGAGAAGCCGATCTCCAGCCGCGTCATTGGCGCTACGTCGGACGCCTGTCGAGCTAGAACAGGAGAGAAGCTCCACTTTCGCCCCCCAGTGGCCTGCATCATCTTCGCCCGGCGCACCGCGGCTCTTAGACTAGTCGACTAGACTACTAGTAGACTAGACTACGACGGTTTAGGGTCGGAGCTGTGCCCACGGTCTGGATCGTAGCTTCTGGCATGACATGCTCTCTACTCCGTACTAACGAGAAAGAAGGCGAGGTCCGCGCGAGGGCAAGAGATCAACGATGTTCTAGCCGGGTCGGTTGGGGGATTTATTTTTGACTTGGAGGACTGTTTGACTTTTGACATTTTCACCGCCTCGTTTGGTCGTTTCTTTTCTTTCTTCTTGTCCATCACTGACGCTTGGCTAAGGGGGGACATCGAGGGGGAAAAAAAAAGCAAAGACGATGGTGCAGGTACAGGGAGGCAAGAACCCTTTCCGGCGAACGCCCGTTCCAATGGATCGTATTTACCCCTGAATCGGGCTCCTCTCATTTTAAACTCGCGATCTACTCCGTACAATGTATACCACAGGCCGGCTCGCGTACCCGAAGATCCTCCCGGGCTCTCCACAATGGCAGGTCAGACACTCAGACTGGTCAGCCTTTTGTCTCGGCGGTTTGCCAGTCAGTCCCCTGGTGGGTGGTTGTTTGCTTACCCATCTACGTGGTGCTCTAGTTCGCTATCGGCTGGACCCTTGGTGGCTGACCGATTCCGGCGCTGGCTTGGGTAGGTAGCGTGTTCCAGGTTGGGTCGAAGTGCGTTTCGCGAGAACCCTTCAAACACGGTAGTTGCCATAGAGTGGAGCATGGGATGGAGATTGCCGACAAGAAAATGAATCTAGAAGAGTGGCTATGCTGTGGTTTTGCAAGTCAGTCTAGATGGTCGATTCTATCTTCGTTCTGGCTACTGTCGCTGCCGCTGCCGCTGCCGCTGTAAATGGATCCGGCGCAGCCCGCCTCGCTCCGGGTATCGTTAACGAGGACATACCAACCTAGTCGAGACCCTTGGCAGCTCTCTCGGCCTGAAGCTTCTCCGCCCGCTTCACCTTGCGCACGAACTTGATGTATTCATCCACCCGTTTCTCAGCCCAGATGTATCCACCGAGCGTCATGGCCCCGATTTGCAGGAAGACTTTGAACTGCGGCGTCAGTCCGCGATAGACGCGAGAGGCCGGAGACAGCCAGTCGGAGAAGCCCTCCAGGGGCCGATGGAACAGTCGAGAACGAATGTAGTCTTTGGAGAACGGCGACTGTTTCGGTCGCGCGGAGTTGGGGGGTTGCGAGGGGACTGGTGCAGACGATGCGGGGGAGAATTTGAAGGGATGTGGGAGAATCATGATCATGTGTGCGATGATTGAGACGGAGCCGAACTATGATCTGAGTCAATAGCTTGGAAGATCGGTCCAGGGAAGGTATCGATCATACTCGGAATGCACCCGTAAGAAACCCCCGAACGGCCTCGGAGGTGATGTGCTCGGGCGGTTCGACTTCATGCCTCTGCCAGGAGGGGGGTGGCATGTTGGCGGTAGTGTATCAAGAGTATGCTGATCCAGAGAACTGAAACGGTATCAATGTGGAAAGTAGCTACAGTAATTCCAATCAATCACTATAGGTGGGAGACAGCACGAGGTGATGAATGCGATCACTTGAACTTGAACTGGTTCATGCAGGACAAGAAAGAAATTGGAGGGCCATCATATGACGCAGTGAATCCCGGGGAGGGGAAGGGAAGCATATCCCGCCGCGGAAATACTGAACTTCCGACTGGGAATGCGGGCGGGATTTGTTCCGCCCCGCGAAATTCTGAGTCAAATTGGAGATTAGTGAGTAGGTAATCGAATCACCGCCCCTCGATTTCAATCCACTCCACCTCACAGCATCCACTGCCCACTGCCAGGTGCCTCCAGGTTGAATTCAGGATTGAGCCCTGCCAACCTACCAACCGACAATCGCATCAATCCATCCTAACCATCCATCTTCAATCCTCCCGCCAAAAAAGAACGGAAAAAGGTTCATACGACCGTGGTCGAACCCCATCACCTCACCTTCACAATGTCTCTCCCCGCCCGCACCGCATCCATCTCCCGCAACACCAACGAGACCAAGATCCAGGTCTCGCTCTCCCTGGACGGCGGCATCCTGCCCCCCTACGAACCCAGCCAACACTTCCCCGCGCCGATCGACCCCGCGGAGGCCGAAGCCGCGAAGAAGGGCATTGTCCCGCCCAAGGATGCCGCACACGCCACCCAGTTCACCCCGACGCAGCAGATCACCGTGAGCACGGGCATTGGGTTCTTGGATCACATGCTGCACGCGCTGGCGAAGCACTCGGGCTGGAGTCTGGCGGTCCGCGCCAAGGGAGATCTATACAGTACGTTTTTCTTACCTGATTTCTCGAAGCATTCGGTGTCCCGTGGGGGGGGGGGGACCTGTGTTGTTTTCATTACCCCCTACCTCAAGGATCGATGAACTGAACATTGCTTTGTGCGTGATTATAGTCGACGACCACCACACAACTGAAGACACTTTCCTCGCCGTTGGATCGGCATTCACCGAGGCTCTGGGCGCGCGACAGTCGCTGGCGCGGTTCGGGCGCGGGGACGCGCCGCTGGACGAGGCTCTGTCGTGGGCGGTGATCGATCTGTCCAGCCGGCCGTGGGCGGTCATCAACCTGGGATTCCGTCGGGAGAAGATCGGGGATCTGAGCACGGAGATGATCACCCACGGTTTGCAGAGTTTCGCCCAGGCGGCCGGCGTGACGCTGCACGTGGGCTGCACCTATGGCGACAACGACCACCACCGGGCGGAGAGTGCGTTCAAGGCGCTGGCCGTGGCGATTCGGGCGGCGTGCACAAGACGGGTTGCAGGCGAGGTCGGCGCGGGCGATGTTGTGAGTACTAAGGGAGTTTTGTAGACTGCAAGAGGGTTGAATTGCGATTCGTTTTAAAAATGATAGACCAAGTCATACCGTGTCATATTGTTGTTACAGCTAGGAGATATCACCTTCTAATGCTATCCCTCCCGCACCCACCAACCCATTCTATCTCATCAACCTAATAAACTCTCCAAAGACATCGGAACAACAACACCACCCCCAAATCCCCCTCCCCAAAAAGGACACCACCACCCCCTCAAACCCCCAGAGCCTCAACAGCCCGACTCCAATAAGCCTTCCGATCATCATTTGCAGCCGTCCCAACGCAGCCGGTAATGAAAGCCTCCCAGCCCGCCTGGGTCCCCTGCTGCAACTGGCCGCGCACACTGGCAGTACACTGCGTGGTCAGGAACCACGCTCCGGAGCCAAAGTCATACTCCGGGACCGCGCGCAACAGATCCAACGTCCCCGCCGGGTCCCCGTTGACGGCCTTCAGCGAGTCGGCGAGGGCGGGGATCGACGCCGCGTATTTGGCATTGAAGGCGGGGGATTGCATGTTCCGAGCTAGGTGGACCGGACAATCCGTCAACATATAATCCTTATTCTTCGCTCTCAACAAGAAAACCATGCGAAAGGGATGGAGGAAGAGAAGA